ATTCTTCTATTCTAATTGTAGCTACACAATATTTTGTTTTGTTTGAATAATGATTCCTGTTTTGTAACCACAAAGTACTGTAAGCCTGCCAAAATGAAAAGTATATATGATCAACTTCACAAGTAAAGATCGGGATCAACACCTTCACTTTGGTGTCTGTGTTGTTTCTCCACCCCCTCTTTCGCCGACTCCTCACCATCCGTTTGTCTCCTGAGACCCCCTGTTGGAGCTGGTCTCCGACAAAGAAGCATTCTTCATGGGGCTGGGGTTGTGGCTCAGTGGGACAGTGCCTGCTTAGCCCATGCCAGGCACTGGGTTCGATCCTCAGCACCACATAAAAATAAAGGCATTGTGTTGTGTCCATCCATCTACACCTAAAAAATAAATATTAAAAAAATAAAGTTACTTTGTCCACCTACAACTAAAAAATGTTAATTAAAAAAAAAAAGAAAGAAAAACTCCTTAAATTATCCAGTTTGAGAGAGTCCTCCATTTCCTGTCAGAACTTTGCCTGATACACTTGTCAGAGGCTAAAAATGATGGAGTTGGGATTCAGGCTCAAAGTGTGTGGTTCCAGAGCCTGATCATCACCTCTAAACTCCATTTCTTCCCTCCTTTGGGACTGTCTGCGTGGAGGGAGAAAGGAAGAAGTCTCAGACTTTGGAATTGGGGGCGAGGTGGAGGGAGGGAGAGGGAGAAAGAATAGGGAGGACTTTCCAAGGGGAAAGGAGAGTGGGACCTATGGTGTTAGTGTATGAAATACAGGGTAAATAAAGATAGACAGTAGTTGTCAGAAAGAATGGGAAGCAGGCCGTATTCTTAGAGAACTGGGAAGGAACATGGAACTTCAAGATTGGCTTGGAAATTGTGAATTGAGTCTAGGACCATTTGGGAGGACAGGAATTTTGGAGATCCCAGAAGGAGGTACAGAGATGTGCCCCCAACAACCCTTGTCTTGTCCAGCCAAGGGACAGAAGTTCTGACCAGATATCAGGCCCAAAATGAAAAGCGGTCTGGCTGACTCTGGATCAGTGCGGGACCAGGTGAGTGATGCTTTGTGCTTTGTCAGGGGAATCTTTGAGTAGGAGAGCTGAGGGGTGAGAAATTTGGGAAAGGGACAACAGGCCCCAGGATCCGAGCAGAACAGGGTATCAGCTTTGTCAGGCAAGAACCCTCCCCACCTGGCCCCCACAAACCCGCAAACACAGTAAACACACCTGAGTCTCGTAGTGTCCCACAGTCATTCATTGCACAAACACAGATTGAGCCCTCACCAAGTGGGCCTCTGAAGATGTGAGGCTGTGAGGTGAGGTCTCTGCTCAGAGTGGGGACAGAGACAGGAGCGCTCCGCGTGGAATAAAGTGGGTCAGGCAGGTGACAGGACTGTCCAGACACAGAGGATCACCATCAGGAGAGACTGAGCTTTGTTGGTGAGGGAGGAGGTGGGACAAAGCTGACACCACCCAAAGCCAAGTGCACACAAGGTCCACACACATGCGCGCGCACACACACCCCATAACTCACCAACGTCCACCCCCCCACACACACACACCCACGGACTCCCACCCTTGGCCACAGGAACACACT